TCTGTCCTGGTCCCTTCTCATCCATCCCCCAGCATCCCTGAGCCGTGCGGGGGATGAAATGTCACCCACTTAGGGAAAAGGAAGTGGGGGACAGCTGAGGGTTTTTTCCAAGGTAGCAGTAGACAGTGACCCAGACAGGTGTGACTCATCCCATCTTCCAGCTCTTTATACTCCATTGTTGTTTTATGATTGTCTTAATGCTACCTTTTTGAACAAGTAAACATGCTTGGTACGATTTTCAAATAAACGTGTTTGCAAATAGTTGGATAGAGACCCCCCTCCTCAAAATTAATGTAATAAATCAGATTGTACATCTAATGAGAAGCCTTCAGGAAATTGTTAAGAACTAAAAGTAAATTCTGGCTTTTTGCAAATCAGTATGAAATGTTGTTTTAATAAGCTTGTACTGATTTCCAATATTGCAGAATATATATTCCACAAAGGGCTTCCCGCCGAATGCGCACACTGAATTAATCTTATTTGGATAACAGATTTTGCACCCGTCACTACTGGAGAGTGTACTGCAGATGATATTTAATGAAAACTTCCAGTCAGGCAGGTGATCTGATGCCTGCGCATGGCTTCCTGATAAAATTGCATGTTTGATTCTTCCCTGATCTCCCACAGATAAAGAGAAGTGCATTTTTTCAGTACAGCCGTGTATCGTTTTGTTTGCTTCAGTGACAATTTTTAGTATAAGCTGATTTAAAACAATCAGAGCAATAGGCAAGTCCAAAGTGGCTTTTTAATAATGGATTTGTTTTGCCAGTTATGCCTGACAAATGGCCTCGCATTGCTGTAGCATTCATCTGAAAACAAAAGGCCTCCATCCACTGTAATGTAGTAGAATTCTTTTTTTTCCTTCAAAGCTCAGATAGCACATGGTTCTTGAGTTACTGTAAATAGCATTACTATATATTGAGGACTACGATGATGTGTGCACAATATTGTTTAAGGTTAAAATAATCCCTGGCACTAAAATATGGTATTGTATTTCATAAAAACATGAGTACATACTGGAAAAAATTAAATAACTGTGCATCTTCTGATAAGATTTTCAAGAAATTATCTCTTTCCAAAATCACGTTTGGGGGCATCTACATTTCAGTGTAAAAATTAGATGAATGCCAGTCTGCTTTTATATTTCTAGGTGGCCTGCAAAACAACAAAAGAAGTAAGTAACTGGTTATTATTTTTATATCGGGATTTTAAAAATCTCGAGTTTCAGGAGGCTGCATGCTCCCCGGGCAGCGACAGGCCATGATAACTGCACTATTGGAGACCTGACCTGACTTGGACGCCACTTGAGTATCCTTGTAGTGACTAGAATTGTCTCCCTCTTGTCCCAACGAGGACAGGGGTGTCGGTGAGCAGAGGTGAACTGGCCAAGCTGAGTTTCTGTAATGCTGGAGGAATGAGCCGTGCCTGGGGTGGGCCACACAGGGAAGAGGGGCTCAGCACTTTGTGAATCAACTGGTCCAAGGGCAGTTGCTCTGCAGAGACCTCCTGGATTCATCACAAGACAGAAATGTCCCGTGATGATCAAAGAGGGTGCAGCCTTGCTGGGGGCACTGGAAATCATTATTTTGTGAGCCTCCTGTTCTCTGATGCGTGCTGCTCTAACCAAGTTTCCTAAATAGAGGAGAGAATATCTTTTCCTTTGCAATTTCTAGATGACTTGGGTAGTCCTAAAGTTTTGGTGGTTCTCCAAGATCATTTAGGGCAGCTAATATGTTATTAGTTTTTGTCTGTTTTAGCAAAAAACTGCAATTGGCATTTCCCATGTGATGCTGCGTGTTGCAGGCTCATCTGTTTCTTGCCCAGGATGATGTTTCCAGCTTCATCTTTGATCTTTACCCTCCCGGAGATGTACTTGGTTTCCTGACAGCCGCTGCAATAAACAGTCTTTTCGGTGCCATCTGGGTACTCCCTCCTCTTGAACTGGGTCTTGTGGATTTCTTTCTGCCCATTGGTGAGCACAATGGTTTTGTCGCCATTCCCAGAAGAGGAGAAACACATGGTAAGGTGGCCTGCACCAGGGCCAGTGCTGCCAGTGTGGAGGCCAGTGGGGGTGGGGGAGCACAGAATAATGCCCCCACCC